GGCTTGGCAGCTCCCATTGCTTACTCTTCCTAGATGGCGTATACATCAATGAAATGTTTCATCACCTTTCTTCTGTGATACATTCATTTCAAGCAAGTCTGTCAATATTGGCACTGCCTCCAGGAATATCTTCAAGGATAGTGCGTTGTTTTCAGCAGGATGCACCCATCCATCTAACTCCCCACCTACCCGTTCATTCATCCCGTATCCCACCATCCATCAATCGGTGTGTAGATGGAGTGGACTTGACGGAAGTGGTCTAAACCCGTCTACTTGGCTAATCTAGGCAGGAGGTACCGTCTCATTCTAGCCGACCTTAGTGCTCGAATATTTCTCCAAATAGTACCCGCCACATTTTCTTGGTATTTAACATGCAGGAAGTAAAAGTGGAATCAAATGAAGGTAACTTGTTGTATTTTTCTTTGTTTTTTGCTGCTTTTACAGACAAAACGCGTTTTGTAAAAGTAAAAAAAGGCAAGCTCGTGTATTGTTGTTAGATAAATGTAGGTTCTAGGCAAGCGCATAAACAAATAATTTATTTTGAGAAAGATTTTTGCATTTATTTTATTTATGCTATTACACTCAACAAAATTATTTGCCAGTCTGTAGAAAAAAAACACTGCTGTACACTCATGGGACAGACAATTACCGAAGCGATTCCACCGGTACAGATTTTCCGAGACCTCTGATCGGAAAATTTAAGGGCAAGCTCATCCAGGATTGTAATTCCATCTTTATAAATTAAAAGCGCATTTGGTGTATGAAGAATCTCGTTCTTCCCTTCCTCTTCTTCTTAAGGAGGTTTTCCTCAATCTTGTAAAGGTGGAAATTGACTTTCGTTGTGGAATCAACACAATGAAAAAGGCAGATGGGAATAGTTTAAATTAAATTGAATTGTTTAGTTAACTCTCGGTAGCGATAACGAACCACTTAGGGGTTCGGCCGTTGTACGTCCACCTTCAGGCCATGCCAGTAGCCCTAAGCCCCACTTCACTTCGACAATACATATTCTGCCTGAGAATTATGCCTTCTTGCACTTTAAGGAAGGTCTCGTTGAGCTACAAAGGCAATGGTCTAAAGGTAATTTTACACCATTGTTACTACTTTGTGTAACCAACATGGCCTACGAATTTGTGCTCATTCTCACACCAAACAATGCTGCCTGTTGATTTTATTGTTTTATATCCAATCAGTCTCTCCACAGCACAAGTTGTTCCAGATAGTTATTATAAATTAACAAACAAGTCTCAAACATACATGACACTGGTAATAAAAGATGCGAAAAATCTCCAGTTCCCCTCAAAGTTTAGCCAGCTGTATGGAAAAATTTAAGCTGGATTTAGGGCAAATCACAATGAAGTAAAGTTAAATATCCCAGGAGACACATGTGATGGGGAGGAAAAAACCGTACACCTTGTTGTAGGCTCCAAGATTCCTTTACTGTCATCTACTTCATGCTCATCTCACCATATCCTGTCCGTGGCACTGTTACACAAAGGGACAAGGAAACTTCAGACCTACGGGTAGTTAGTGCGGAGACCGAATGGTGTACTTTTAGCTTTTGACAATTAAAACCAAAAAAGGAAAACGAATGCAGCCTTCACCACTATGCGGTTACTAAGACTAAGCTCAGACATCACTGAGATCGCACATCAAGACATAATAGCAAGTCCTAGTGATTTAGCGTAAGGAACCGAACAAATTTTCTCCACATTAATGTTAGTTTTTCTATCAGCCAGAAACCTGCCATCAAGGCTTTTCATCCTTTGCAACGGCCAACGATGTCCATCACTCCTGATACCCTTCAACATATTTTGTAGATAAAATTAGCAAAAAAGGAAAAATTCGATCACTCCAATAAAATTGCTTTTTTAGTTTTTACGATCTAAAGGTAGATAAAGCTGAAGAACAGCAAATATTTTAAAAATTACTAAACCACATTTTTTTCCACACTTTATCACTGCAATAAAGCCATTTACAAGGAAATGAGGTAGATGCGTTGTCGACGCGTCTCAAGACGTCGACAGACGTCAGACAGGCACTCAACCAGGAAAAAACTTGAAAGCATTACCAATTACCCAATCATGTCCCTCTCTGCAAGTCCCAAGCGCGCGCCTTGATTGGGAGGAAAGGCGTAACCTTGATTTTGTCATCGACTAGTCTCCGGTACACAGAAATTAACTCCGCTTGTCAGTGCCACTGCTTGACATCAAAGTGATTATTATCCATCAATGAAAATCTGTATCCTGCGATCGGCCATCAAAGTATCAGGGTGATCACCACTCACCATCAAAAATCAATAGGGCATCGGAGTGGAGGTATGAGCAGTGCTAACCGGCAAAAAATTATCAATTTGGGGGCCATTTTTAGCCCAGTGGGAGTAGAGTTCGTTTCGTTTTGACCACCCACAAAGATTGAGCAAATGTCAGGGCTTTTCCGCGGTGGATTAAACTAATGTCAAAATGTCACGGGAGCTTACTGAAAGGCTTTTAAATGGCTTGGCTGTATGTCCATTGAAGATGTATTCATATCCAATTATTGGATATATTTTTAATTTTTTGAATCTTCTTACTAAGCAGGAGCTTAAGTGTAGATGTTTTTTACTACGAACTAAAAAACATTTTGTTAAACAATGACAAGCAGATTAGTGGTAGTCTGTTTTTTTGTACCCTGTGTATGTTTGCCTACGCCGATATTTCAATCTCTACAGTTTGTACTTCCGCTTTGGGACATGGCTTTTGGGTCATGTTATTTGCCTCCCTACTCCCTCTGTACGTTATTTCTGTATATTTATCAGTACTACTTTAGATTATTTTGATTTCAGTGAGAACTCAGGATGCCACTGACTGCTGTCAGAAGCATTCAGGATTTTAGACCCAACCAGTGCCTGCTAAATCCACTGCGTATAGTACTCAACACCAGGAGAGGGCATGACAAAATAAATCAGTCCGGGGATTTCACTGACGTAGCTAGTTGAACTCAGGATTATTTTGTAATAAAAGCGACATTCGTAGAAGGCATTGAATTAATCGCCTTCACGACTACACGCTAAAATCCTTTTCTATGCCAATTCAACTTTTGCAAAAGGCTTTGGTCTCTGGAGAGAAAAATCATAGACTTTTGCTAACTACAACAATTTGAAGGTCACTGTCGCCATAGTGTGATCACGTGATCGTTTATAACAGACCATTAAACAGAATTTAGTCATGATTGGGAGAAACGCCGTTAGGGAGATAAGAGAGGTGAGGATGAGAATGATCCAATGTCTTCTGTGGTAGTATCTCTTTCCGCCTATCCCAAAGTTTGAATTTAAACACGTTTTGCGTTGCATTGACTCGTGAGACTGGGACGAGAACGAGGAGAAGGAGGAGTTTTTCCTTGCACGCCTTGGACTTGTGCGTCCACGAGTGGGTGGACCGCAGCCGCAATTGTTGGGCGCCTTTCAACAAGCGAGCACGTCTGTCCTCCTTGCACACAAAAGGGATGCAGGTTTTCAAGATCAATGCTTTTTTCTGATCAGAAGTCAGTCTACTAGTGACTGGTTCATGCGGAAAATGGTTCCAGAAACTAGCTTATGTCACTCAGACACGGAGTTGCATCCACATAGGTCAGGTTAGTTCAACTGATACCTTACGACAGGAGGATTCAACAGTAAAATCCATCCTCTTGATGGAGTGACTTGCGTTTATTGGTACTGCTTGTGCATATAAACAGTTCCCTGCATCTTTCAAACACTTACAAGTTATAACAAGGCATTATGGTTAGCAATTCTCTCCACCTACTTCCGTGGGAGAATCATTTTGGATTTTGGACAAAACACATTTTGGATCAGTGGGAACGGCACGATTGAGGAAAAAGCCTTCCACTTTACCACCTTACCGATCAGTGATTTGGGCAAAAAATAATTTTTATTCTGCATTAATTTAACCTGATCAAGGAACTCCAAAGACAGGTAAATTCGTTAATGCGATGATGCTTTCCTACCGCCAGGTTGAACAAATCTGCATCGTCTTTGATTTCTGTCATTGCATCGCAGTCCTTCTTGAGTGGGAAGCACTACGAAAGGTGGTTTGAAATGCAGTAGTCATAGTCATTGATAGAGAAAAATAGAGTTGGGTACTCTAATCAACCGTCAAAACGACTGGCTCTTATAAATTTTTCACAAAGGAATCAAAAGAATAGCAATTTGAGCATTTTTTGTGGGAATGACTGATTGATTAACCCTGCGAAGACTCTTGAAGTAATTCCATTCGCTGAGGCAATTCCCATTCCTATTCCACGTTCTACCCTCTAAAAGCAAATATTTCCACCTTGATTACTCCCATTTCTGTCTCACTTTTGCTTCCCAACTGTATGTTCTATTTTGCATGGTTGTATGATACCTAGAAAAGGTGATAATCATCGCATGGAGGATAAGGATGACCGGAGGGGGTAATTTTTTCTGCATTCTACTCCAAAACTTGCACAAATATTTTCGTTCATCTAAAATATGTTAGACTGTGCTATCATTTTTGTTGAAAGGTGGTAGAAATTCCTTGCGAGTTTTTTCAGCAAACTTATTTATAATTGAAACCTTTTTCGGTGAGCTCAAACTACTGAAGTACTTAACAGTTGGTTCCCCAGTCGTCGGACAACTTTATTTGGTGTTCTTTCCGATTTTTTAATTGTCATTACGATGAAAAGTTAAAAATCCACTCAAAGTGGACTCTAAAGTTAAGAGAGACTTGCATAGCTGTCAGTTGAAGATACTCGATGCCGTCTAGCTTTGATGTGCTACCTACCAATTGGTGCCGCAACCCGCTTAGCTAATGCCCTCCTTTCTTTCAATATCGAAACATATTCTTGATGGAGATGCACTTTTATCTTGACTTCACTGTTTTAATTAAAATCACAATAATGGCACTAATAAGAACTTGCCTTGATCGCCTCCATGTCACAGTCACGTCAAAGTGGTTTCATTCTTGTCAGTTAATGATCAAAAAAATAATTCTCAGGTGGGCAAATAAACATAAATTCATAAAAGTCAGCCACAAAAATGTTGCCTACTGTTTGGATAAAATAAGCTGTACGAATTTTCCCCACGGGTGCAATTCTATTGGCTTGGGAAGACACACGACCGCACACGAGCGTTGTTAAAAGCACATACACACACACATGCCAGCGCAAGGGTGTTCCTAAAACTTTTCTCAACGGACACACAAAGCTCACATACACACACACACACACGAAAACACGCACACAGACAATAGCACAGGTATGCTCGCACGCACGCACACACGCACACACACATCGTAATAACCTCTCACACGTGTGCAGTGTGGCATGTGCGTACTCACACTTTTGAAGCGGTAGTGCTAGGAGCTGCCACAGATATCACCATTGGTGCAATTGTATCGTTTAATTTCGACGACCCTACCACCGCACCCACACTTTGTAATGCCCCCGTGGTAAATGCGTCAAAGGACTGTCTCAGCTGTTGCAGCTTCGGTGTTGTGTGCACGTATCAAGAGGCACAGGGGAATAGCCCTAGCCCCAAGCTTTCATACTCTCCTCATCAGCATTTTGGTGGTAGGATGTGCTCAGGTTGCTATTGCCTCACCACCGTCGGCATTTTCGGATGTAATGGGAGTTTCTCGATCTTTTCCACCCAGTGGAGATGCTCCCAACTCCTCCGTGTGTCGTCATGCCTTAAAACAGGTGTCTGGACACTCAGCCAAGTGCAATATCTCACGAGATTTTCGTGGATGTCGATTTGACTCGGGATTTATCTCCTACCTCGAGTTCCAGTACTGCCAGTTCTCCACACCTGTGGTGCCCACCATTCTTATGGTATGCATTCACATTGGTTAGGTAATCCAACTTGATCAAAGGTTAAACTCGGCTACTTTTGCAGGTATGATATCTAGCTATGCCATAGCTTTTCACACGAACCTTGAGCTCCATTGAAGGTGTGAAAAATGATACCATCATGCACCTGATTTGCCTCCTCTACCACTAGGCTTACCTCAGACCTTGGGCGCCGGCGGTACTTATACAGATGAATCTGTTTCAAGTTAGAGTAATTCCTAAATGTTTACTTACCCGATATCTGACAGGCGCATCCCCTTTTAAGTACCACCGGCTTTCAAGGTAGTCACTTTGTTGATTCACCTTTCAGACTGTTTGTGATTTGGATATAGAAGGCACTAAACAAAGCCCCCCTTTTTTAAATATTATACCTACTGGATATCTTATGTTTACTTAGACTTTTTCTTTTTAAAAATCACTCAGATAGGCTTGAAATGACGGTGCTAAAGCCCTGCGGTTGTGTAACTCCTCAGATGCCTAATGTGAGCAATGTTTGCAAGCTGCAGTAAAGCTATTGTTGTATTTTAACACAAGATCCGTATTAAAATAGCCTGAGTGAATTTCTTCTCTGTAGACATGACATGGATGTATTATTACTAGTCTTTCGTACAGTCTTCAGTCACTTTAGAAGCACCTGACTTGTATCTTGGCATTTATGCAACCTGACTGGCAATTCGAAACGATCATTATTACTTTCTTGGTAAAAGATGTCCCATGGCAATGCCGTTGCAACTAAAGCTGGATTTCCTCCTCCTTTTCCTCTTGTTTCGTATTCGCATTTAGTTCTTCTAAGGGTCACAGTGTTCGAATGGATGTCAATTCAGGTTAAATCTCGTAATTACGAGAGCGTATTGGGTGTTAAACCTCTGGTTATGTGATAAAATCCTATTCAAACTTCTAAATTAATGGAAAAATCATTTACATTAACTGCGCAACCTGAGATGTGTAGAAACACCATCATTCCGAAGTTGTTCCTAGCTGTCAGGAGGACATTAAGGCAGAGCCGTCAAGGTACTTGGGGTTGGGGTGAGCAGGCAGATGAGAGCAAGTGAAAGGTAGATTTTCCACCGGAATTCTTGATTTATACGTCACTGTGTGCAAATTGCATGCAGCAAATTAATGCCGAGGTAGTTTTTTTTTTGCTTTCACAGTTGCGGTACCGTGAACAAGTAGAATTATCCCAAAATAAAAAGGAGTGAATAATCTAATTCACTGGCCTAGACACTAATTCTATCATGGGTGAGCAAGTACTCTCCTTCTTATCTTTCCTTTAAAAAAGGCAGGAATCACTAACCGCCCGCTTGAATTTTATGTTCTGGCTTTAAAAAGCGCAAATTTTCTTCTCCAGTCTTTTGATAAAATACCTTGCTTTGAGTTACTGCGCTTGTCGGACTTAAAAACAGATACCATTGTAGGGAGCTA